GTGTAAAGGATATAGAAGATAGTTATTTGAGGGAGCGCAGCATGTCAGCGGAAAAGCCAGCAATCCGCTGGCATCAAAATAAGTAATAACTGAGTGCGGCAACCGCTGCGGATACTTAACGTGAACAGATGATGCTACATGTGTAAAATCCGTGGCGGAAATAGTGGCACCCTCTCTTTTTTCGGCAGGGAAGCTGCAAATAACTGATACGACACGTTATACGACTTGCAAATTTATCTGTTTAATAATAGTCGAACAGAAGCGGCAGCCGGAGCAGTTCACCATTTTAAGATACTTTTCCGAGTATGGGAAGTGGGGGCGGGCACGTCCAACTTCAAATGTCCAGCACAGTAAGCAACATTTGAAATTCGACTAAAAGCATACAAAAAGAGGAGCACACACAGGGCGAAAGGGATATGAGGGGAACGGATATGTTGCGTTGCACATGTGACAAGTTTTTGTGTGCGATGTTGTCGTCGAAAAGCGGCAAAAACAGTTGAGCTGGTTTGAGTTTGAGTTTAGTTCAGTTGAGTTTCCAGTTAAGGTGAACTGCCATTTTACAGTTTGTATATCAAACTGGCAGCCCAGAAGGGTGACTCGGGACAAAAAATTGCATTGCACACAGCGCGGGGTCACGGCTTCAAATCGTCGCCGTCACACAAAACGAGGCAACTTTTTGCACTGTGGGTATATGAGTGCGCTTTCTTTTTTCCGCGTTTTAGTTACTTTTTTTTTTTGTTGGTCAGCGTCAAGGCAACTTCCAAAATGCATTTCACTGCGGCTTTCATTTTCGTGCTTGTTGGACACGCCCACAATGCCACACTATCCCCCACACACGCCTCCAACCTTAACACTATACCCCACCTCGCCCCCTTTTCTGCCGCAGAGTGACGTAGGTTATAAATTTAAGCCCTGCGTGGTTTTAATTTTTAGGATTTTTTTTTGGGTTTCCAAAGCCCTTCATTCTCATGTTCTGTTTGTCCTTACAACACCCCCGAACAGAATCTTGAGCTCCGGCCGGGTTCAATTCCCAGTCCCATTCGTATTCCCACATGTCCTGGGTATGTCGCTCCTGGGTCAAACGTGTGCACTCGGTTCAGTTGGGGTTTAAACGGTTAAGTGCTGGCTAAATTGTTTCATTCTTTTCTTGCTTACCTTTGGCCCAGCCCGGTTTTTGTTTTCCCATCTTTCGGCCCCATTTTCATTGCAATTTTCGTTACTGCTCCCGTTCCGCTTCGCTCCATGTCCTTTTGTATCTTTTGTTCAAAGCCATCCGTCTGACGTGCGTGTCTAAGGTTAAACTGCACATGTTTCCCCATGCGTTTTTCTTACTGCCGCTGATGGTTTCGTACTTTTGGGTTTAACCTCAAGGTGTTAAGCTGCCGTCGAGCTGCCACTTTTTTGCTGGTTTCTATCAGCTGCCGGGTCTATCGATTCCTAGACCGGCAGATAGTGGGCGTAATTGGCAAATGATGTAGTTGCATTGGTCGAGAAAGCGCAAAAAAATAAAGAATATTAAGACATTCTTTGAGGTTTCATGTATTTTTAAAGAGGTCTTTTTAATTTTCGATTTTTACTCTCAATAATGCAAGTTTGGTTTGTATCTGTAAATTACTTACTTTAAATAACCTAAAAAACAATTACCTAAACTAGGCGTCGATGGATTTTTAAATCTTTTAATTCCTAGCACATTGAAACCCCAAACCAAAAAAAGATAAATTCAACAGATTCTCTAGCATCAATTTCAAAAAGCAATACAGCAGCGGGCGGTAAATGAAAGCGAATAACGTATACGCACCGGAGACAATAGATCGTCTCTGCCGCCTGCGGCCTTATTTGAACAATGTGCGGCAACAAAGCGCGAAATTCAAACGATATGCAGTCGCAGGCACAGAGGAGGAATCCAACTGGATCCTGATGAATCGGCCAAGGGAATGGTAACGCAACTCATAACCGAACTATTGTGGGGCTTGGGCTGAGTTGAAAAAATACAATACTAGCACGCGCCTTTGAGCCCGCTCTTGGCACTGAAATTCCAATTGCAAAATTTCACCAGTCGGTGGTCTTCATATATACTCCAAAAGACCGGCGGGGATTTTGCCGCTGGTTGGACATTTTGGAAAACTTCATTAAAAATGTGTGTCATGATGGAAAAAACGTTTCAAATGAAAAATCAAATAAAATAGATAATATCTGCTATTACCTTTCACATCCTTTCCTGTCGACCGCAGGCCAATCATACGCATCTGATAGTGAGAGCTCTTTTTTAGGCATTCCCTTCGGTTTCTCTTTGTATGTCAACAATTTTAATTAGCTTTTCGATTCCTAAAGGCATCGTTTTGACAAATTAATTTCCGTTTCATGTTTAAATATTTACCGGCTGGCTGGGCTTAAATATAAAATGTGAGTAAGTCTGAACGTGAATTGCAGTACACAAAATCTCTTGGGTAATGACGCTGAAAGGGAAAGGAAACGGGAAATTGTTCGTTAAAATCATTCAGCAACAAGAAAAGGTATGGGATCGATATTTACGAAAAAATCCAGGAAATTGGGGTACGACATGTATTCTGACGGTAAGTACGTGAGAAAGTGTGAAAAATGAGGATAACATTTTCAAGCAGCTAACTTGAAAAGGCCTTCTAAAAGAATCCTACTTTTTCTATTTTAGAGAAAAAGTCATATTCAAAACTAACTCATTTGACACCATTTTCATTATCGGTTCTCTTGGCTTGTTAAACTTTTAAGGTAAATCCCTGAAATTAAAACAAACTGTCAACCGAAACTCACATTGTCGGACGGACAAAACCGAAAGAGGCTCGTTTGCTTTTGTTTCACTGTGGTTGGTTTCGGGCTTGCCGCAGTTACCGCAAACTCCTCTCCACCCTTTTAGGGGGCCACATCCGTCAGGACTCCATTTGCGCATTGGACTTACTGACACAACACAACCGTACATAAAATATAAATACAGCAACACATCCTGTGGGCTGCCTGTGATGTATCTGAGATTTTTCGCGAGCGAGAGCACGTGTATGAAACTCCTGTGCATTGTATTGACACCAAAAGCCCCAAGGGAGTGAAACATATGGCTCCAGATGTTGGGGAAGTGGGGCAAAGGGTTGATTTTGAATGTGTTAATTTGATTAATGCAAGGGACCTTTTTGTATTTACTTATATAGATCTCAGCATCCACGAAATGCTATGTACCTTGTCAAATTTGTCAGTTTACTTTCATTAACCGTGACAGCCTCTATGGCTCACTCTATTTACCTGATATTCGGTTTTGTAATTTTCCTAAATGTTTTTTTACTTCTCCCCATATTATTCATCGTATTCTGCAAAATCTACTACGACAATTTCGAGCTCATTAAAAATACAGCTGTCAACTGAAATATTTCACCGGAAGCGGGATGGGTGTGTGTTTGAGAGTTCATCCTCAACAGAGCACGTCTGCCGTTTGTGCTTATTTGTTGGCCCAGACAGTGGCTTTCGTAATTTAAGCACCATTTGATTTTGAAAAAAGTTGACTTAACTACGCGAAACTGACAGAGTTCATGGAAAAATGAAACGTGGAATTAATTTTGTATAAATTAAGAGAAATTCATCCTATTTGCAGACACTGTCGACATTCACATGTGCTGACATGTTTCGTATTTTAGTTTTCCACATTTGTGGAAACTAAGCTACAAAATTACACACGGATATATTTAATTAGATGACATACCCCACCATGTTGCACACATGCCGCACACTTTGCGGCACAAACCTGTTCAGCAGTTTTTGCAACGTGATTTGTGTTCGAGTCACATCCGCGCAGGTGAAAATTAAGCAACCACATTTAAATGAGGATGTTAAATTATATTTGTGGCCCACAAAATTTAAGTCAGACTCCCGGGGTCATTGACTAAGCTCAACTGTGAGCGTTGCTACTTGCCACTTTATGCGCCAGACTCATTTCCGGACAACTTGTACGACTGTACTCGTTTCTCGGGCTGTATCATTACCACTTTTATTGCCATCCTGTGTGTCTGCGTGTTTCCTGTATCGACAACTCGGACGATATATCAATGACACACACAAGTGCCACCCCGCCCTCTATCCAATTTCATTGGGCGGCTAACGTGCCGCGTGTTTTTCTACAAAAATATTTCTCAACTATTGCCCGATCGGGTTTTGTTCACTTTTTGTGACATAAAACTCACAATCAGTCGCCATCTAGTTGGTTGGCTTTTTGTCTGCGCTTCATTTCATTCTTTTGTGAACATGATCCGATTTTTATTGCAGCTGCTGTAGGATTTACTCCATTTACCTCCGAAGCTTGGATGCCAATCTCCTGTGTCCTTCGTCAGACACCAAAAAGTGCTGTCGTCTTCATTTGGCTGGCAGCTTAATTCATTTGGTGCATTATTTAAATTGTCTCGCCAGCAAAAGAAGCCACAATGCTCTCAGTTCAATACATTTGTTGACGTAAATGGCAGTTTCTGAGCTGATTGCTTTCAAAGCGTTAGAAATTGGTAAAACCATAACATCAAATTGAATGAAAAAGTAAGGCATTGCTTTAAATTTCTTTCATAAGAAAAGCAAATGCTTTCACACTGAATCCTTTCATTCTTCAACACTAAACTATAACTGACTTTGACTCTTATGTCAAACTAACATCCACTTGGTTTTTGTGAAAATGGGTGAAAAGTTAGGCAACTTCGAAACCGCCCATAGTTTAAAGGGTTTAGTCGATGATGCTGCGGGATGTGCTCCCGGTGTACCAAGTGGTAACAAACGGCGAAAACGAACTCTGGAGCCTTTGTTGGAAATGGAAAATCTTAGTATTGATGACACAAAGCGACGACGAAAGCCACTGACAGAAAATGAGGTGCAGAAATGTGTGAAGCGCATGAAGCTCATGTCCCTCGAGGACGTAAGGACCAAAAACAAGATAGCCACTTACAACCCCTTCGATCTTGACAGAGGCTATGAAGGCGATTGTGAAAATTAATAAACAGAAATTGGTCGCTAACATTTAATTTTTATTGGTATGATCATCTCTATCTAAATTTCAGCATCGGTCCCTCCATTGGAATTCCAGGTTTCAGCATCGGTCCCTCCACTGGCATTCCAGGTTTCTGGCTCATCAGCAGGGATAACAGCCACCGCATGGTCCGCAGCATGGTCCACAGCATGGTCCGCAGCAAGGAGAGCAAGCCGGTCCACAGCACCCGCCGCCGCAGCAGTCCTGCATTCAATTCACATTAAAAATTGGCCTGGTCGAATAACTTACCTTTCACTGACACGTACAGGCACCAAAACGTAATTTGGGTTCACGTACATATACATGTTTGTTAATTTGAGCTTAAAATTATTTCCACTGGAAACCGAAGGGAACCGTTTTTAGATGTTTTTAGACTGAAAATTTAGATGTTGACTCGTCGGGAATACTTTTAGAACTGATGCTTGTAGGGGCCGGCATTCCGAACCAGGTTTTAACAATTGAAATTCGTCACTCCAAGGCTAATGTGATCGCCTAAAATATTTTTCCATTTTACTGTTTCCATTTGAAAAATGAAAATTAAAAATTTTCCATTTGTTTCCTGAACCGATATTTTTGTCCTGTCTAAAATGATTATTGTTTAAAACTCTAAAATGTATTTATTCGTATGGCCTAATCGTTTAATTTGTTGGCATCAATCATGCGCTGTCGACCACTGGGACCATGTGGCGGCTGTAGACCCTGTGTGCCTTGTTACGGTTGGTGCCTTGTGGCGATTGAGGTCTTCCTCGGGGTTGCCCTGTGGTCTTCGCTGCGGACCTTGAAGTTCCGCTGCAGACCCTGTAGCTGTCGTTGTGAACCCTGCGGACCAAGCTATGGACCATGTGTTCCTTTCTACACTTGGGACTCTTTCTTCAGTTCTTACTTTGGGCCTTGTGGCCCGTGAAGAGAAATTTTAGACATTGCTAAGATACAATTTTTTATATTCACATATCTTTAGCTAATCTTCAAATAAATAAAGTGAATTTTAAAATAAAAATACTGTATTTTCCTATTAGATACAAATATTAACATTATTAGTATGGAAGGATTGGCTTCTATATCATTGTTTATTAGAATGTTTGCTACACTTCTATAACTTTAATTTATAGTTATTTATACTTAATTTAATTTAAATTAAGCTTACTTTAATTCGGAAAGGCTAAAATTGTACTGCTGATAAAATAAACACAGTAGGCTTTATATTGTTTATTCAACCCTTATCATACCCAAAAATAATTAAATACTTCACTTTCATTCAACCTTTCAGGCAATAGACATCTATATTTGTTGTCTAGTCTCAAATTATTTTTTGTTTGATTCAAAGTAAGTAAAATAAAAGTGATACATACATATATATTTCATGAAATAATAATATCATATTTATTTTTACAAATATTTCATATATGTAAATAAATATAATATATTATATATTTTTTTCTAATTATATTTAGCTTCTATTCGGATAAATCATGTGCTGTGGACCTTGTGGACCTTGCTGCGGACCCTGCGGCGGTTGCTGTGGTCCTTGCGGACCTCGCTGCGGGCCATGCGGATCGTGTTGTGGACCGTGCTATGTTTCGTGCTGCGGTCCTTGTGGCCCCTGCGGAGGATGTTGTTGGTGCTGAATAGAATTCTTGATCCAGAGCTTTACTCGAACACCTTCAGCAAACGAAATGTGACAGCACACACCCATTACAGATTCATCATTATGGACAGGACCACTTAAGGACACGAAGAAACCTACATTACATATCCACCCAATCACAAAAAATAATTTGAAACGATTCAACGAATAAATAAAATTGTACACCTTCGACCAAGAAATATTTAGCATTTGGTTTATTTGGTTGGAAAAGGGGTATGGGCTTATGGGGTATGAGTATGGGCTTGTCAGTGCGATAAGTAAAACTGGTTGGTTGGTTCTTCTGAATTGCGGGCCATGTTGCAAAAGGAGCGGCCTTCAATGCGCATAAAGCAAAGTTTGGATGTTTTATAAGATTTTACGATTGACACAGGGTTCAACACTCCAGGTTTCGTTTATCCAGAAACGCTTATTAGAGAATGTGGGGACTAGAGACATAATTTCTTCAATAAAACGCCAAATTAACTAGCTTTTATTTTTGTCCATAGATTTAAAAGTTCATACAAATATATAATTATTAAAATATTTCCAAATATTGGAGATTTTAAAAAATTCATTCATTGTAGAGTTGTGTTAGTTCTCAATCAATTTTTCTTAGTACTAGAACACTTTAAATATTTAAATCTATTTTTTAAATATTTAATATATATACAATACATAAATATATTCATAAATGTATATATATATTAAATATATACACATTGGTAAGCCATATTTCCACAATTCGAAAAATATCGAATCCTAGTAGGCTAGGCGTATAATTTTGGCATGTTTCACATTCGGCCTATAAAAAGCATCAGTATTCACTTTTCATTCGGACAGACGACATCAAAATTTTTTCTCCAGCTCCCATTTATTGCTTAACTAAATTCTTTGTAAGTAAATTTTATACCAAAACTACAGAACTTATTTGATATATTTATTTTTATTAAAGGATTCAACATGTGCGGACCCTGTGGCTGTGGACCCTGTGGACCTTGCGGTCCCTGCTGTGGACCTTGCGGTCCTTGCTGTGGACCCTGCGGGCCTTGCGGACCTTGCTGTGGCCCATGCGGACCATGTTGTGGGCCTTGTGGACCCTGCTGCGGACCGTGTGGCAAGAGGAACGGCCTTCAATGCCCCTGAAACATTGCCCCTGGCCACCAAAATCTTCTCAAGAATTGTTGAGTAATGTTTGTGGAGGATAGAGACAACTTCTAAAGATAAACAGTCTTCAATAAAAGGGAATACTACAAAAATATATTATTTTTTGTTCGTTTTTTTTCTTTCTCAGTACTTCCTTTCCGACTTTCCTCATTTAAAACATTGCTTAAATAGAGTTTTCAAATTTTTCGAATTTTTTCCTAGGGGTACCCTCATTGTGGATTTTCCTGCTATCCCCACTTTTGCTCCCTCCGATGGCCATAGCTCTGCCAATTTGTATCCGATCAGGAAATAAAGTACAATTTTGTAATCAGCGAAACTAGAAGCGACTTTCCTCATTTAAAACATTGCTAAACAAGAGTTTTCAAAATTTTCGAATTTTTTCCTAGGGGTACCCTCATAAAATTGTGGATTTTTCTGTTTTCCCCACTTTTGCTCCTTCCGATAGCAATAGCTCTGCCAGTTTGTATCCGATCAGGAAATAAAGTACCATTTTGTAATCAGCGAAACTAGAAGCGACTTTCCTCATTTAAAACATTGCTAAAATAGAGTTTTCTAATTTTTCGAATTTTTTCCTAGGGGTACCCTCATAAAATTGTGGATTTTCCTGCTATCCCCACTTTTGCTCCCTCCGATGGCCATAGCTCTGCCAATTTGTATCCGATCAGGAAATAAAGTACCATTTTGTAATCAGCGAAACTAGAAGCGACTTTCCTCATTTAAAACATTGCTTAAATAGAGTTTTCAAATTTTTCGAATTTTTTCCTAGGGGTACCCTCATTGTGGATTTTCCTGCTATCCCCACTTTTGCTCCCTCCGATGGCCATAGCTCTGCCAATTTGTATCCGATCAGGAAATAAAGTACCATTTTGTAATCAGCGAAACTAGAAGCGACTTTCCTCATTTAAAACATTGCTAAAATAGAGCTTTCTAATTTTTCGAATTTTTTCCTAGGGGTACCCTCATAAAATTGTGGATTTTCCTGCTATCCCCACTTTTGCTCCCTCCGATGGCCATAGCTCTGCCAATTTGTATCCGATCAGGAAATAAAGTACCATTTTGTAATCAGCGAAACTAGAAGCGACTTTCCTCATTTAAAACATTGCTAAAATAGAGTTTTCTAATTTTTCGAATTTTTTCCTAGGGGTACCCTCATAAAATTGTGGATTTTCCTGCTATCCCCACTTTTGCTCCCTCCGATGGCCATAGCTCTGCCAATTTGTATCCGATCAGGAAATAAAGTACCATTTTGTAATCAGCGAAATTAGAAGCGACTTTCCTCATTTAAAACATTGCTAAACAAGAGTTTTCAAAATTTTCTAATTTTTTCCAGGGGTACCCTCATAAAAATGTGGATTTTTCTGATTTCCCCACTTTTGCTCCCTCCGATGGCCATAGCTCTGCCAATTTGTATCCGATCAGGAAACAAAGTACCATTTTGTAATCAGCGAACGAAGAAGCGACATTCTTCATTTAAAACATTGCTTAAATAGAGTTTTCAAATTTTTCGAATTTTTTCCTCATAAAATTGTGGATTTTTCTGATTTCCCCACTTTTGCTCCCTCCGATGGCCATAGCTCTGCCAATTTGTATCCGATCAGGAAACAAAGTACCATTTTGTAATCAGCGAACGAAGAAGCGACATTCTTCATTTAAAACATTGCTAAAATAGAGTTTTCAAATTTTTCGAATTTCTTCCTCATAAAATTGTGGATTTTCCTGCTATCCCCACTTTTGCTCCCTCCGATGGCCATAGCTCTGCCAATTTGTATTCGATCAGGAAATAAAGTACCATTTTGTAATCAGCGAACCTAGAAGCGACTTTCCTCATTTAAAACATTGCTAAAAAAGAGTTTTCTAATTTTTCGAATTTTTTCCTATGGGTACCTTCATAAAATTGTGGATTTTCCTGCTATCTCCAATTTTGCTCCCTCCGATGGCCATAGCTCTGCCAATTTGTATCCGATCAGGAAACAAAGTACCATTTTGTAATCAGCGAACCTAGAAGCGACTTTCCTCATTTAAAACATTGCTAAAATAGAGTTTTCAAATTTTTCGAATTTTTTCCTCATAAAATTGTGGATTTTCCTGCTATCCCCACTTTTGCTCCCTCCGATGGCCATAGCTCTGCCAATTTGTATCCGATCAGGAAATAAAGTACCATTTTGTAATCAGCGAAACTAGAAGCGACTTTCCTCATTTAAAACATTGCTAAAATAGAGTTTTCTAATTTTTCGAATTTTTTCCTAGGGGTACCCTCATAAAATTGTGGATTTTCCTGCTATCCCCACTTTTGCTCCCTCCGATGGCCATAGCTCTGCCAGTTTGTATGCGATCAGAATATAAAGTGCCATTTTGTAATCAGCGAACCTAGAAGCCTCTGCCAGTTTGTATCCGAACAGGAAACAAAGTACCATTTTGTAATCAGCGAACCTAGAAGCGACTTTCCTCATTTAAAAAATTGCTTAAATGGAGTTTTCAAATTTTTCGAATTTTTTCCAGGGGTACCCTCATAAAATTGTGGATTTTTCTGATTTCCCCAATTTTCCTGCTTCTGATCGCCATAGCTCTGCCAATTTGAATCCGATCCCGAAACAACGTACCATTCTGATATCAGCGAGCTTAAGACCGCTTTTCTTCATTCAAAGTATTTCCTAAATATTGTTTACAAAATTTTCGAATTTTTTTCAAGGCGTACCCTTATGGAAATTGCGGTTTTCCAAATTTCCACCTTCTGATTATTTTCTTCCCTTCCGATGTGCACAGATCTTCCAATTTGTATCCGATCCCAAAACAACGTACCATTCCGTAATCAGCGAACTTAAGACCACTTTTCCTCATTTAAAGTATTTCCTTATTATTTCCTATGAAAATTGCGGTTTTCCAAATTTCCACCTTTCTGATTATTTTCTTCTCTTCCGATGTGCACAGCTCTGCCAATTTGTAACCGATCCGGAAACAACGTACCATTCTGCAATGAGCGAACCAAATGCCGCTTTTCCTTATTCAAATTATTTTCTTTAATTGTTTTCAAAATTTTCGATTGTTTTTAAGGGGTACCTCTATTAAAATTGTGGTTTTTCAAGTTTCCACCTTTCTGATTATTTTCTTCCCTTCTGATGTGGACAGCTCTGCCAATTTGTATCCGATCCCGAAACAACGTACCAAGAATTCAAAAATAACCGAATCCTAGTAGGCTAGGCGTATAATTTTGGCATGTTTCACATTCGGCCTATAAAAAGCATCAGTATTCACTTTTCATTCGGACAGACGACATCAAAATTTTTTCTCCAGCTCCCATTTATTGCTTAACTAAATTCTTTGTAAGTAAATTTTATACCAAAACTACAGAACTTATTTGATATATTTATTTTTATTAAAGGATTCAACATGTGCGGACCCTGTGGCTGTGGACCCTGTGGACCTTGCGGTCCCTGCTGTGGACCTTGCGGTCCTTGCTGTGGACCCTGCGGGCCTTGCGGACCTTGCTGTGGCCCATGCGGACCATGTTGTGGGCCTTGTGGACCCTGCTGCGGACCGTGTGGAAAGAGGAACGGCCTTCAATGCCCCTGAAACAATTTTAAGTGGGCCACCAAAATCTTCTCAAGAATTGTTAAGTAATGTTTGTGGAGGATAGAGACATAACTTCTAAAAATTAACAGTCTTCAATAAAAGGGAATACTACAAAAATATATTATTTTTGTTCGTTTTTTTTCTTTCTCAGTACTTCCTTTCCGAAGTGCACAACTCTGTCAGTTGGTATCAGATCCTTTAACAACGTATTCTGTAATCAGCGAACTTAAGACCGCTTTTCCTCATTCAAAGTATTTCCTAAATATTGTTTTCAAAATTTTCCAATTTTTTCAAGGCCCCTATGAAAAATTTATTGACTATGGTTATTGACACCACCTGTATACCTTTATTCACTTTTTAAATTATATTTACAATTAAATGAAGAACCTGCTATAGACCATTCCCACTGAGTCAAGCATGATACAATTATATAAGGTAGTCCATTCGTTGACTTAAGTCCGTTATTTTTGTTTTAACATAGTAAGCGTTGAATAGTGCAAGTGAAACGGCTATACAGTACTTTGATTAACCCTTACACGGAGCACGGGGCTAAAAGTTTTTCTTAGTTATGACAAGAGTTGTAGTGTTTATCATTTTATTTTAATAAGTTTAGAGTTTGACATTATTCTTTGTTTTTGTTTTTGGACAGCCAATCTTTTGTTTAAGTTCTTAATTCTAAAGTGTATGCGTATCTTAAAATAAATTTTTTTTATGTTTACACTTATATCGACCTGCTCAGCGGCGTTTAACAATGTGTGTTTTAAATTTTTAGTTATTTGAAATGTGTCCTTAACAATATGTAAAAATATGAGTTCAAGTTGTTTCATTTTGTTTTTAAATGTCGATGAAGGCTTCATCAGCCCTCCATGCGAAACCTCATCTACATATGTAAACGTCGACTCATCTGCTAGCTCATTACACAAACGTAATTTTTTTATGACAAAACCTGCCAGGTATTCAAGTGCATCCTCCGTCAACTCGTTTACCTCTTCAAATTCTTCGTCAAAATCAAACTTTACGCCTAGCACGTGCTTGCGACAATAATAGCAAAAAGTCATTTTTTGCTTGGCCACTTAAGGGTTAAAGGTATGAAAACAAAATCACCTTTCAGTTTGACAGTTTGGAATTAAAGGACCAAACCCGAACGATATGTCAGTGGAATGGACTACCTTATATAATTGTATCATGGAGTCAAGCAGTGGAAAAAACGTATCTTATTGGATATCGTTCCCTCAGCTAAAATATGTTCCTGCTTCCTGTGCTAAATACTTAGGTATTATGGAGATTTCTATTATTATTAATAGCTAAAAATTCTAGTAGGCCATGATTTGGCCTTTCTCTCTGTCTGTCAATACCTTTGAAACAATAGTCTGTTTTTGCCTCTCGTCCGTCCCATACACATCAAAATTTCGGAAGAAGTCCCTAAAGTTCTTTTTTTTAACAAAGTTCAATGTAAGTAACTATCTTAAAAGACAATGAAAAATTTGTTTATTCTATTTATGAAAGTCATAATATTCCAAAATGTGCTGCCCATCCTGCCCACCATGCTGTTCACCTTGCTGCAAACCCTACGGAAAATGTGGACCACATGGACCTTGTAACCCCCGTTGTGGACCCTGCCGACCTTGCTGTGCACCTGCATGCGGTCCTATGGAACCCCGCAATGGACTTCAGAAGTGTTCGCCTTATGGTTTGGCCACTGGAGGCTTTTGCTGTTGACATATCGCTGCAAAAGTCGAATTTATGGGTTAAATTTCACACCAGTGAACTAAAAAGAACATAAGGGACTTTAGTGTTACAATAAATCAGTATCATTTCAGTCCATAAAAAAATTGTTTTCTTATTGAAGTTTATAATAGTAGGAGGGCACAAAAGAATTGTCCTGTCTTTAAAGCATTCGCTTTCTGATGGTTAACAGCAAATGGATTTGAAAAAAGTGGACCTCTACAGCAGCCATTCCCAGGACCATTGTCCCTTCAGGTTGAGTCTGCAGCTTGTTGCAGGAAACACATGCACACAGTCACTCCCACGAGTGCCTTGGGGATAAGAGGAGCAGTTAATTTATGCCAACATGCTCGGGCAATTGAGGCGATGCAGCTGGAAATAAAAGTGTATGGGATACGCACCATTTAAATTGGCCAACTAGGGGATTTTAATTAGTGTCAAGTGCTTCGAAATAAATGGCCGCCCGATCAAATGGGGTAAGAGCCTCCGAACCCCAACCAATCAAAGGAAACTGCTAGTAGAGTTACTCATACGCCCCGTGTGGCGCGCCAAGTCAATTATTAATGGTAGATGTGCTCGAGTGCAGACTGCTGACATCTCAATTCATGCTGGAAATCAGCAGGCAAATTGTTTATTGTATACATACATTCATGCAATAGAATGCCAGAGGAGTGTCTGGGGAACTGATTTTCATCATTCATTTTGCAAGTCGACTTTTCCACTTTCCACGCTGAATTATGAAGCCACCGACCTTCCATGAAAGTGTATCAGTTGGTGTGTGTATCTGTGTGTGCATCCCTATGTGTTGGTGTGCGTGTGAGACAGTGCACTATAGGAAATTTGACCACTTTTTCTGGCCAAAAACCATTTTTTGAAAGTTAAAGAATATAAATAATTTTAACTGCATATCATTCACAATAGATTAATTTTTAATGTTGCGTACCAGAAATTTCCATAGATGGCGCCACTGCGAAAAAATCAGCTGTTAAAAACAGCTGTTGATGTTAACATTTGCATGAGCTTAGAGTTTAAGATTTTTTGGTGCTATTTTAAAAACGCAAATACTGAAAATTTTATGGACAAAATCAAAAGTTTTGAAATGAATACTTCTCAATGTGGTTTGTATTATGTGTTTGTGTATGTGAAGTGTCCAAAAAACTTGTGTTGTCTTTTTAATAAAGTGAAAATGTAAGAAGTCTAGCAACAGAAATTTTTTGAATTAAATCACATTTTTAAAAAGAGATTTAAACTAATTCAGGCCGAGTCGGACAATGTAATTTAATCCATGTTGTAGATTGTTTAATTTTCTTCAAATGAGTGAAATATGAATATGCATAAAAATGCACTTTCGAAGAAATTCATAATTTAGGGAGGCAACCTCAACACCTTGAATGTGAATCTGTTAGCTGTGAGACTAGTGCAAAACCGAACAGTTAGCATGTTATTTTTAAATAGGGGGCGGTGCCACGCCCACAATTTTTTCATTTCTAAGTTCTTTTGAGCATATAAACTCAAATCAAACATCAAAATTTAAATATCTTGCTTAGTTTTTGAGTTAGAATGTGTTTCTTAAAATGTGGGCGGTGCCACGCCCACATTTTTTTAAAATCATGAATCTATTGACCATGTGAACTCAAATCAAAAATCAGAACTTAAATATCTTGTTTCGTTCTTGAGATATTATTTTTGGCCAGAAAAAGTGGTCATATTTCCTATAGTGCAGTGGCTCGAGTTGATGACGCAGTTCAGGGAATACGCCGGATTGGCAAGTAGAAGAGGAAGTGGGCGAGGGCTTCCAGCATCCGGGTGGCATGCAAATGGATTGTTTCATCCTGCAATTGGAGTAGCAGAAACATCAGAAGCAGCGACGGCAAAGCCTCCAGCTTCTAGCCTCCAGATCCGGAAAGGGTCAAATTAGAGCTAACTGCCGGAATACTAGTGGAAAAGCTTCACCAGAGACTTGCTCACAAGGACTTCTATCTAAGCTGGAAATCCTAGAATAGGCATATGCCGATAACGTAATTTGGAATTGAATTTCGTTAAAAAAATTCCTTCGAGATACCTTAGATTATGATGAAAACTAAGAATGGAAAAATAACAGTATGAGCACCAAGCCTGAAAAATTTAAAAGAAAAACTAACATTCCATTTAACAAAACTTCAAAATTGTCAGAAATTTTAGGAAATCGGTTCAGAGGTAAATTAAGTCTTTTTGTAAAAAGTGACATTGTCCTGGTCCCAACATAGTTCACCTTCGGTGGAAAGTCCAATCAGTCTTTTCAAAATTTGTTTGGTTTCCAGTGCTCAAGGGCCACACATCTAACCATGTCTGTTTCCATTGGCGAGAGCAATGCAGTCCCTAACCACGCCGCCGGGATTTGGAGCATGACCAGGCACCACAATATTGTGGAAGTCTTACCGATCGGCGATGGGCCTCATGTTATTCGTCACCGTCCGAACCAAGCTCGTCGTCGTCCCCATCCACAACACAACCAACACTTGCAAATGTTACCAGCAGCGGTGCAACGTCCCCGGACACCACCACTCCCTCGACTCCCTACGCTCCGTAAATTAAGTGGTAATCGAACCCATGAATTCCAGCGGAACATGGACTTCTATTACCGCCTGAGGAACAGTCGTTTCGGAGGTTCTGCAACAGGATTCGGTTACCGCCAGCTTCAACAGGACCTGCAGCCACCTGGCTATATTAACTGGCCTATGAGCCACTCGGATATCGACGCTCTGACATCTGAGAACGAAACAGAGCCTCTGGGTCGCGACCACCACTGGGGAAGGGCCCAGTTGCATTTCCAGCAATATCTGAGCACAAATTATCAAAACCAGCAGTCCAGAACCACCACAAACAATCCAATCGTCTTTAAGTTGGACCTGAACCTGATCGAAGTGAAACCCATCTACGACATCCTTTGCGGTCTTGGCCTAAAAGAGGCTTTGAGACTGGCCTTCAACGAAGTCTTTCACTTGCAGTAGACTCGGTCCTGCATCCACAAACTTTCGATAATAAAGATTAGAAGCAACAAAAGAAAACTTTTCAATCTGGATGGGGGTGAGCGTGCCTCATGCATATGTACCACTGGGAAACTCGCTCTCTGTGCCCTAGGTTACTTTTCTTGTCCAAGATCTTCTTCCACCCAATTCGCCGCTCATGTGCATTTATGGAAATCGTATGCAGCTATTGTATGTATTTTGCGTGTGCAGCAGTGTGGCAGCTTCATGGTCAAAACGAGAAATTCCTGGCAGCGAATTGTTAATGCCCTGTAAGTGTAAAGAGTATTAATTTATATGCTTTATATTCTAATATACGTTTATTTTCTTTTATTTCGCCTTTGAAATCAAGAAGTCGGATTTAAAATACCAAGTGTGTAAACCAAATTCCAGTTTACCGCGAGACTGCCACACATATGTATATGCCGCAACTTTTACACCACTCTGCCGAAATAACAAGCGTTGAGGAGAGCTCCAAAAACGCGTGCATGTGGATGCCACATGCACCACACACACAGCACACCCCCATACACACCCACATATCCACAAAAGACGCGCTGCGTTCATTTTGCGCCTTATCTGCGGTCGCAAGTGTTGCGCCATCGCCGCCCGAGTGCCTGAAATTATGCTAATTTTTGGGTTTTTATGCAGCCAACATGAAGCAGAAGCAGCAGCAGCAGCAACATCAGGATTCTGCATTCTCATGACCGAATCTCCTCCAGCTCTTCCAGCTGCTGCTTGTTGGTTGTTCATAGTCGGTCGCCGGTTGTTGCTCGTTGGCTCTTGCTGTTCCTGCTGTGCATTTTGCGGACTCACACTGAGAAATAAAATATAGAAGCTGGTTAAAATAATTAATTTATATTTCATTTAAAATATTTATAAGAAACTGAAAATTTATCATCCAAAACTTTATGGCTTTCCTTAATAAATGTTGAAACAAAATTGCATTCTAACGTGTAGCTTTTTTCAGTGCTTTGGCGGTACGTTGAATTTAAAGGCAGGAGGGGGCAGCTGATAACGCAGCATTAATAACACCCCCATGGCTTTCCCTTACTTGATGATTGAAAATCCAGCAAACAACGCCGCGTTCCAAGAGTGAGCAACATTCATTTACTTATCAGGCCCGGGAGCTGGTTCTTGCAGAGTTCCCATTTCGCCTCTATATTTGTGGCACATTTGGGAGCTAAGCAGGCAAAAGGCGGCAGGAAAAAAAAACGTCAAGCAGCTGCTGTCCCTGCCACAGCAAGGGCCATTGCCATTGGTCTTGTTGTGGCCAGTGTTAACATAAAACTTGTGCAGCGATAAACTCATGGCCCGCCCAGGACATTGTCCAGCCGCACATTTGTTAGCCTGCCTCGAGAGCCGAGGCATTGGGGCATTTCTGACTTCTGTTTCGGTTTCTGTTTCGAGTCCTGTCCCAGCTCCAGATCCTCCTGCATATTCAACGCCTTTTCCATTTCACTTTACTAGTCCAGCCTTTGAAAATTTCACATTTCTGTTCCCAGGCTCTCCAATGTCTACTTTGAAACTCAACGAGTGCTGGCCCCACTTTGTATTTGTTGATTTTTTCCAATGGGTGACCAAAGGTACATTTGGTCTGTATCTATGATATAGAATACTACTTCAGAAAACTAAAAGACAGATTTTCAGAGAACATTAATACTTACAGTTTAACACTAGTCATAAATAATAGGGATTATCCTAAAATATATAATACTATTACTCTGATAAACAAAATTCTTAACAAAATAATAGAGGTTATTTAAACTATAATCAGATATTTAATCAATTTTTTTAAGGGTATTCAATAGCTGCACTTGTATCCAAAGATTGGCATAGCAACTTGTTTTCCTTTCCCTATTGGGATACTTTGAAACAAGAATGTTTGGAGAGTGCAGGAGCTATTGAAACAAACATACGAAAGCATCAGGCCTACAAAAAAGCCTCTCTCTGGGTTTGCTTCCTCTTCAATGTCTAAATGAAAGTGCCTATATCAGTTTAAGCAAAACCATTGATTTAACCCAATCAACACAAACGTCTTCTGTTTCAGGAAAACTTTTTCCACCAAATAATGAAAATAATGCCGTAACACAAAAGCTTTTACACGGGATGATGGGTTAATGAATTCCAACCGTAATTACCCGTCCAGGGAGGGTGATTACCCCAAAGAGGCCAACTCGGCCTGAACATTACGACCACCGACCCAGGGATCCTTTTAATTATTGTTTATAACAGGCGGATGCAACTTTATCTTGTTGATTTTATACATTTTTTATACTTTTCGCGGCGATTTAAATATTCCAACTGCGGTAAAGTTTCGATTGTGTTTGCAGTTTTTCCGCTGAATATTTATCCAATTGTGATCGTTCGGGTAATTGTTCTTTGTTTTTCATTTGTTTTTCGGCTCCATTTCGATTGCATATTTAATTGATTGATTTCCTTGTTGCGATGCGCAACTTTCAATCGCTTCTTGGCTCCCCGTTTGGGAGATAGTACGAATATCCCCAGCCGATTAAATGCCCAATGTTGATAACCTTAGGGGGCGTATAGCCCCTACTCAGTTCGATGCCTCGCCGTCTGTGTCTGCTTCGCTTGTCATGCATTTTACGCATGAGAAAGTATTTTCAGTTAACAAGTGCGAGGGTTGAGCCAAGCTGCAAAAAAAAGTATCCCCAATGCAAAAGTGCACAAGAAAAGTACCATAAAAATAAATCGAAATATGGCAACCGCAGTGGGAGTGGATGGGAGGGAACGGCAACTGGAGTGACAACGGGTAACAAACGATGCTCCATGCCAACGGAGGAGGTGCGGATGGGAAAGAGTAGTCGGGTTTGTTTATGGCGCGATATGAATGACACGTGACTGGGAGACAGTCCCTGCCAGACAAGCAGTCCGGGCAGCACCATCACCAGACGATGGCGAAAATTATGAAATTTAGCGCAAGCCGCACAACTGCCTGCAGGAATGAAAAAACACATTGAGCTCACGCACACACCGAAACCTTCAGCTATGTGACAGCTTTGCCATATCGCACCTGCTGCACCCACTCACGTATGCACCATTTACCCCATCCCTATGTTTTTTAACGGCCCGGAGAAAGGTGAAGGCGACGGTGAGGCAAAAACTGACGGCCAATGCGCTTAGCACTTTCATTCCGTTTGCTGCAAATTGCTTAACCACAATGAATGTGTATGCAAAGCGGTGGAGCAGACACACCGAGCAAATTCCATAAAAAAAATACCAAGTATCAGGTTTATAATACCCCTAAATGTTTTATTTTTAGAGCTCCATAATTAGAAAACTAAAACAAAACTAAACTATGAAATCTGTAACTAAAAACTCATTATATAAATCATAAATTTATAAATATTTATTTCTGTGTAAACAGATGATAGCATTAGCTGCATGGGGGCCGCGTGAGGCTTTCTTCTGGCAACTGTTGCAAGGTGTCGCCAGCAGATGCTGTGCTCAATCTAGGTGCGAACGGTTTAACGCTTTTCCAGCTTTTTTTCCTTTTAACTGGCAGGTTTTTTTCGCTTCTAAATAGATGTAAGCTTAGAGAGTCTCATTTTCTGTTGCTAGGCAGGCAGACAGTCGCGAATCCTGTTCAAAAGATAAACGAAACGGAACAATTTCGGGCAAAACCACAGCTTTATTTCGCAAAAAAAAATAAAATTAGAAGAGTAATTCAAAATAATTAGTCAGTCCGACATCCGTTTGAAGTGTTGCTGGTTCAGAATTTCCGATACCCATTCTTATTCTCATCTTATTATGTTTCGATTTATTTCGAATCCTATTTATTTTTTTCAAAGGCAGTTCTTCTATTTGGAACGCCTGATGTAATTTATTTCCTCTTGTGATGCTCTGAAAAGTAGGCAACAATTTCTTGGGCAATCCTCGTAAGCTCACATATGTCTCGTGAAAGTATGTGCGTTTGGGCGGGTGTTGGAGTGTGTGCTTAATACGCATTACTGTAGGTGTCTATAGGCTGATTATGACAGTATTTGCAATCCCCTTCCGAATCTTTTATGCCGAGAATGTGTAAATGGAAATTCATTCGATTTCCCTGTTCTCCAGCACCAGCTTAAAGCTGATCAAATTGAGTTCTAAGCTCCATTTCACACATAAAATTCCGGAAAATTAAATTCCACACACATGTTTTAAGAGGAGAATTTTGACCCTTGATATGAAGTTTTAATGGCTTAAAATTCTCATATTTAAGATTCACTTCGCTTACGAGCCAAAAGAAGTTTCTGAAGTGTAAATGCCCGGCAATCAATTACAAAAGTTCCTTCTCAGTTTAGTTTCTTTAAACTTTCCCGTTTGCCAACTTTTACGCTATTTAATGACCACACTTGACAAATCGTTATAATCGCTCTTAATTATTATTTGGTCAGCTGGTCAGTCAACTAGCCATAAACAATGTTTTGCTGGGATTTTTATGCTTTGTGGTTACTTGTAAAATATAAAAGGTTGTATGATAAATTTAAATTTCTGGGATAGATTGCCTTTGCCTTTGAAGCTTTACCTTTGTTGGCATTTTTGAATAGCATTTATAAATCAATTAAAAAGTGTCTTATGCAGTCTATTTCACCTCGACTAAAAATATTTATCGTAAATTAATTGATACCTTGAATCAAAAATTATAGCTACGTGGATAAACTTATACTCAATGTTACCGATGAAAGAGCAAAGGTAAATGTTAGATGGTTCCACGTAAAAGTTGCAGATACGTGTCTGTCAAATGCAGACCGACTTGAAAACCGCCCAACCACGTTCATAGACCCCACTTCCGCCCCCTGATGGCGGGCGAAACCACAATGCCACTCGCACTTCCGCTTTTTTGTTTCAATGGGCCACAAAGTCAAACGCCGCATATTAAACAACATACTGTTGTCTGTTGTTCGTCCTGCGGCCAAAGTGGTGAATTGAGGCCACACTAGTTCACAGGTTCGAGGAACATATACTTATAAGCGAATACTTAAGCATCTCCCAGCGATTTCTCATTCATTAGAGAAGCGAGAAACACATGGAACGGATGTCAATGCCAAATAGCTTTCTATAGCTTGAAATATTAAGATGGCCATTGATCTGTCAACAGAATGAGTGTCAACGTGATTAATTGAGCCTCCAGCTGGGAAGTTCACTGCTCTAGTCAAGATGCTAGTCCTGATGCAAAGAATATACTGATACTACGGCAAACAAAGCATACATATTACATATATCATTTTGCCCGGTTTGAGAGACTCTTCCATAAGGTAACCTTGGAGAAAATTCAATAAAAACGTTGCATAATTTTTCCCTTTTCCTGTGGCAAACTTTGTTTTCAGGCAATTTCAACTTCCACCCTTCCCAAATGGCTAAAACGGAAATGAATTTTTCCGCTTGACCCAATTCGCTCCCATACATGTTTGTGTAAATCTTTGTATTTGTTTAAGCTTTAAGTTTCATGCTTTGCGGTTTTTATTCGTGAAACTCGATTGAACTCAAGTTTTCAAGTGACGAGATAATTCATACCAAAAATGTTGAACGTGTTGAGTGGCTGATGAAATGGGCTCTGAAGTAAACAAACAAATTATTGCAGGGATGAGTTTGGGTATTTTAAGCTCTCGTTTAATCAATGATTAAGTTTCGTATAACAGCCTTTTACGAGTTTTATATTTGGGTTATCCTTAAATCATATGTTTTTCACCAGCAGCCACTCAGCTGCCTTGTTCCGCAACTGATATATTGTCATTCATATGTTGTGTCAGCAATTTGTTAGTTTTATGGTGGATGCCACGCCCCCAGCTGTCGGTCCCAAAACACGAACCGGGTGATCGGGAAAAATGTAATGGGAACGAAAAGGAAAAACGCCAAAGTTGCATACATAAATTGTATTTATCCACTCCACACTCTGCATTCTGTCATTTCCTGATTTCATCGTTTTTTTTTTTTGCTTTCCATAACCGTATGGAAATATAAAGGAGCTAATGCATGCCCGAATTTTTATGAAAGTCCTTATACATTTTCATAAAAGTCCTTTACATCGAAGCCTTAAATTTCGAAAATGTCAGTACTAGATACCAGCCTGTCTGTCTATCAACTTTTAAAATATGAAGTTTTATCGTTTACGCATGTTTGTCCCATTTTTCTGTTTGTTGCTCAGATTAAAGTTCAACTTATTTTCTTTTCTGAACGCAGAGACATTCAGGTGAGGTTGCTTAAAAGTTCGTTTTGTTGCAGTTTCTAAAATGCCAAAGAAACTTTTTTATATCGTTATTTAAGCAAACTATAAATTGCCTTTGATTGTAGCATGCTAGCTTCATAACTTTTTAAAGTTAAGTCTGAAAATCTGAGAACAAGCTATAAGTGGTTATTTACTTTTTATTAACCAACAAGGTTGAAAAATTTCGTTTTTTTATTTAAATTAAAGGAATTAATTAAAGCAACTTAAATTAAAGGTTAAGGAGTCCCTTTTTGATCGGACAAGGGATATGGAAACTATTACACCCGATAGGGTTAGACTGTTGCTTCTTAAAATTGATCTTTAGCAATCTTTATAAATTGATTATGGTGGTTTTCAAATTAAGATGTATGTACAAATATTTAAAGTTAATTTATTCGAAAATTCAATAAAGAAAATTGACTTTTTAGTCGGCTGGATGTTTAAATTGTGACGGGGGACGTGACTCAAAAGTTAGTTCTGTTCCAGTTTTTAGAGTGCCAGGTTGACTATTAATTGCCTGTGATCTAGTTTGCCAGCTTTAGATCTTTTTAAAGTAAAGTCAGACAGCAAGCTGTTAAATTTATTCAGTCAAATAAAAAATATAGTTCGAAATTTGAAATTTATTATGGAGGATCCCCGAAACCGAGAGCTAAAAAAGCTCATTAACTTGTATTGTGGTCTCCAGCAAGCCACCAAATTCCAAATGCAAAGGATTTTTATCGAGGAAGTTCGTTTTGAAAAGAGTGTGGCCCGTGGAGAGAGTAACCATACGAAATTAGAAAGATTGGAGAAGATGAAGGAGTTCCACGATCTGTTTAAAGAGAGCTTGCGACAACAGAATAAGCTGACAGTAACCATTCAACAATTTCTTGACTTCAATTCAGAGCTCAAAGACACTAAATATTACCAGGAGGCTTCACTTCTCCTGGAACGTCAAAAGGCAGAGGATCTGAGAAATCGGAAGCTTCTTTGCCAACAAATGGAGAAGGGTAATGCTGCTTTAGATGATGCCTTGGAAGCTCCAGACCACTCTTCAAAAGAACTGGATATTGTAACCACTCCACCAGCAGATAGAGAGCCTGGTGCTTCCGAAGTTGCAGATAACTAACTTTGTTTTGAATGCAAAAGAATAATTGTACGATTTTAATTATATACATGTTACATTCGCTCGATTAAAAAAAAAACTTTTTTGGATTCTATTGATTAATTCCAATGATTCATTTATTTTCTAGACAAACTTTTGAACAAATAACAGTCTGATTAGCCACCGAAAGGTATGTGGCTTTCGGTTTCCTTGGGAAACTAACTGGTTGACCTGAAAAAAGTGAGCGGCGAAACCGCATGCTGATGTAATTTCTACTTAGCCGCAACTAACTACGTCCAGCTTGGAAAAGTGTGGGGAAAAAGCGGAGAGGAAACTTTGGACCGCCTCAGAAATTAAAATAAAGTGCCAAGAAAGTGAAAAGCGAGTGCCCCATGCCCAGGGAGCAGCATCTTCAAGTTGGGCGAAGCCAAGGCCCGACCATCAGCGCCAAGTTCCGTTTGGGCCAACACCGCACCGCAGCAACCACTTCTAGTTTCCATTACTCTTTCCTTTTCCACACTGTTTTTTACAACCTCACAGGCAAAAATATTGTTATTTAAAAAACATCATTTTTCTGTTTTAATAAAATAAGACATAAAAATGGTTTATGTAGACTTTGTAACCCAAACCAACTTTTAAGAAACTATTTCCTAGAAACTAAAAATATAAAACCCTTTTATTTGTTTTATTATTATCAGTGTAATCCTTGCCTGCGGGCAGCATGGAAAACTGTTGCCAGTGCGTAGGCGTTGTGTCCACTTCTCTTTTAATAATTTGTAACTCATTTTGCACTCGGAAAACAAAATAACTACAACCGGCGGTGGCAGTGGCAAACGTTTCACCTTTTGAGCTGCCTCAAAACCATGGACAAAGCACAAAGTGAAAAGTTAAAAGTTCTGGGCCAAAAAGTCGCCGAAAACGGAAACTTTTCTTGGTTTTTGAGTAAGGACATTACATCTGGGTTAACAGGCAAATTAAGTAATTGAAGTGGCCCAAGAAACGACCGCTGGATTGTGTGAAAATACTAGGACTTTGCAAGCAACCCAGGATTTCATGTGCAGTACTATGAATGAATCGGTGATTCTTAAATGTTCTAATACAACAATCAGTTTTATAGAAATTATGCTTTACTATTATATGTATATTTCTTGTTCATGATGGAAAGATTACAATTAAAAATGTATAAGTTTCCATTAAATTCACATGAATGCTTTCTCAGGAATCTGATTGGCATAATAGAGTTCCTCAAATACCCAAAGTGCCTTCGAGAAGTCGCCATCGTTTTGCATTAGTAGTTGGTGGCTGAAAATTGAATTCATTCCGGTCTGGCGACTCAGTCTCTCCACCGGATCAACGTCGCAAGTTATTCGTATCTCCAACCCGATGGAGGTCCCGTTCAAAACTCTTAGAGTGGGCCACATCCGGATGACGTCCTCTTCGTAGCCAGGGGATAGAAGATTGTGCCTGATGTCCAACTCCGTCATGGGTAGATCTTTAAACACCTGAAGCATATCCAAACTATCTATGTCATTGTTTAGCAGAGAGATGCGTCGAAGATCCGGCAAGCGCCGATCCAAGTGTGCCAATGGCCGAAGATTCCTCAGGAAGTTGCGATCCAACTTCAGACATAGCAGGTCCGGCATGAATCTGGAAATTATCGAGATGGCCGCGTCGAGGCATTGCGGCTGGGCCAATGCACAGAAATGATTGCGCCAAGCGTAGTCGGTATAAAACTGTGTAAGGTCCAGAACCCTAGTCTGAGGGTCGTACCTGGCCTTGAGCGTTCTCTTCAGTCGCCACCTATACGAATCATCCAACCTGACCAGGGGCATTCGATCGCTGATCTTCAGAAACAGCTTGGGTTCACGCATGCATCGGCGATTCAGTTCGCTTGCTATCAAATAGCTATTCACGTAGAAAGTGAGAAATGCGTCGATGTCGTGCGTTGCATCCTTTTCGCCACCGGGGTGCATGTAACGCGGCGCCAACGGATGAGGACTCACCAGCCGATGCAGGCGCCGCATCACACGACCCTTGGTTTCTCGGTGGTTCTTGCAGAAAACCAGGACACGGTACCAACCATAAACGCTAACTGGAATTCTAGGTGGTGATCTCGGACCAGGAGAAATCTCCCGCACACGTTCCTTGGGCGTTGAGTGGAAAATGGGTCCATCGAGGGTATCGCGTCTTGGAGAACTGAACATGATAAAATTGACCTAAAACAAAAATTTGAAAAGCTTTTTTATTCACGCTATTTTTTGCTACGAGTTAGAGGGTTGGCCACTACGAATGATTGCTCAAATTATACGACTTGTTGATGTAACAAGCAAATGCTACTTTGTTGATTTTTTCTTTACTTTGACAATTTTCAAAGACCAATTTGTATGAAGTTTGGAAAAAGAATTCTTAATTTTTTGTACAAAAATTATTGTGAAAATATCAATTTACGCCATTTTACAAATTTCAACAATAGCTTATCGATATAATTTTTTAGAGGTGCATTCTAATAACCAACACTGGTTGCTTTCCAACACTGAAGTTTATAGTTATCGCAGCAAAATAGAACCCCCATTAAGCTCAGAAGCGACAAAATTGAACGCAACTAGAGGTTTTATTACAAAATTGTAGAAATTTTAAAACAAAATGTTGTAAAAATATATTTTAACAGCATTTTGGCATATAAAGCCATAAGCTTTTTGCATTGGCGCCAATAATCAGTGTCTTGACTAAATGAAGAATCGATACCAGCGATAGTATCGCATAAAGGTGACGATTTTATATAAGATCTATGTAGCAAATTGACATTTTTGTGTGAGGTGGAAAGGAAACGCAATAGGTGTTCTGGCATCTAAGTATATATCAATTTACAAATTTTACTTATGGCTTATCGATATACTTTTTATAGGTGCATCCTAACAACCTTTTTCTTTCCAACACTGAAAGTCATCGTGGCATCGTGCAAAGGAGTAGAGTCCCCACAAAGTTCAGCGATAAAATAACACAGAGATTTAAACTTTCTTAAATATATAATAAAAAATGGATACTATCGGCTTAATAGTATGCAGCCCTGACCTAAAGGAAATGCGAATTAAATGCTTAAATTGTTCGATCGAGAGTGACATTAGTGATTGGGACAAATTTCGCAACCACGTGGTAATTTCGCACGTTTATTCTAAGGAAAATTTCGATGCAGGTGGCAACCACAAGGAGACTAAATTTATTAAGTTCATTGATTCGAACGAACCGGAAAATGCATTACATCAGCATGTATGTGCTAATTTTTCAAAAAAGTATTCTAAAATATGACCTTAAGTGCAATTGTCTATAGCCACGCAGGCGTTTTTTTTTTTTAATATTTATTTTTGTGAATAACCTTTGAAAGTGTAAACTTTTAGGTTATGTACGGCCCAATAAAAACGTGCATATGTAATATCTATAATAGTACTTAAAATTAATTTAAAGTAATTTTACTAAAATTTATTTTTAGGAAATATTTCACGATAATAGATCGGTGGATAATGATTTAGCCAAAGAGAATATTTTGGTAGAAACTTCTCCAAATATTAAAGTTAAAAAACTCAAGCTTAAAATTAAACCTGCAAGGAAACCGAAGTTAACACTTATGACCAGGGTATGTTTGAAACCAATCCCTCAATGTACATATACGACAAAAAATGTATAAAAATTTTTATTTTCAGATGCAAGTGTCTTTTATGCGACCAACCTACCGCTTGGAGCAGCTGGTGATCGTCTACAGGATGCAGTCCTGTTTGTGGAATATCTCACATAGCGACTTTGCTGACATTGAGAAGCGTAACGAAGCCTATGCATCAATGAAAAGTTACATGTACGAAAACGCATTGATTTCCTTCAGCAACGATGAGTTGAAGAAAACTATTCAAAGGCTTCACAAGCAATATGTGTGGGTAGCCACAGAGTTTGGGGAGAATAAGCTGCGAGGATTGGCAGCTCTTTGTTTCGAAAAGTGCACATTTCTCAATGAGCTGCTCGATGAATTGTTACACGAGCCAACACCCGAAGAAAACGACAGTATAAATACAATCAAGGTAGGAAGTATTCAATTTTTGTGGCTTTTATGTTGCCAACAATCTTTTTTCCATATCTAGTTGAACTTTAAGGAGGAGAACATATTGACCACTACATTCATAAGTGCCTATGCCAATTATCCACAATTGTACAATTCCACGATGTTTGAATACACATCATTGGAGTCGCGGGCAGAGGCTTTCCGGGAAATAGCCGAAACGATTCTACCCCTGACGATGGCCAATGAGACGGAAGTGTACATGTCGATCCAGAGGCTACAACGCTGGTTGTACAGGAACAATGATTGTCGTTTGAAGCGTAAATCCATCTTCAACCCACAAGAACTAGAATATGTGACCATGTGCGGATTTCTGCCAGCTTACAGGACTTCCCACCCATCGATGCTATGCACCTACTGCAGGAAAACCATTTCGGGCGACTACAATTTCCAGTGGCACTTGTACCATGATCACCAGGTGGGCGCCCTGCCCTACATCTGCTGTTATTGCTCAAGACGCTTTGGAACTTACCGTCTTCTAGGCCAACACAAAATGGAGTGCGAATTGCGTTTTGCGCATATATTCAATGAGCCAGAGTATGAATCCTTTGAATGCCTTTCCCCGCCGTTTTGTTAAATCCATGCGGCCGTTCCATACGGTAACTGCAAAGGATCCAGATTCATATTTATGTTGCAAAGTTTTTGACTACCAATTTTTTTGCATTTTACAAATACTTTTAACCATAAAGTTTTAAATATATTATGTAATTCATTTTAAAAATTATTTAAAACGCCATACATTTATCAGAATTCAGCATTATTCACGATTTATTTTTGCAATGAAGTTTTTTATTTGAAATTATTTAAAAATTGCTGAAAATCTGATTTTTTATGAATTGAATTTATACCAAGAATTATAACTAGAAATTAAATCAAATAATAAAAATTTTTACAATCAATTATAGACTAATGTATTATGATATCTAAGCTAAAAGGCTTCCCAAAGCTTGAGTATGATGCAAATGTTTTTGAAGTGATTAAAAATTTGTTCCCTCAAGGCATACTTACTCTGACCAATTATTTTAAATTCCGATAAAATTAAAATCAAAGAAGTTAATAAAGCTTCGCGCCATTAATTTTCAAGCTGCCAACCAGTTTTATTTTAACCAGTGCTGTTAAGAAAAGCAAAAAGGTCAGTAGTAACTACCATCTCTGAAAGAGCTTTAAAGGCTGACTCCCAGGTGGCGCTTTATATTTTGTGTATTTCCCAACATGAAATCTAGGATTTTAAGAGCGGGCAAATTTGAATTGTGACTAAAAAATACCAGCAAAAAATCAATAAAAAAATCAAAGTTAAGAATTAAAATAATTTGGAAACCTTAAATGAAAATCACTCTTTACCACACCACCTTTGAGGTAGAGTGTGGGCGTTAAGAATAAGGTGATTATGAAAATTAAAAATAAAAGGTTTGGATTTGGTTTGAAATTTAACATTATATTAAATATTAATTAAAATATTTTGAATGTCTGTCTTTGGATTATCTTGCATGATTTTATGATTTCTTTCACCTTGTTGGGGCTACCGCTTCATTAAAACCATTTTCCATTAAAAAAAAAAACATAAATATTTAATTAACCAGCGGTTTTTATTTAAGACAAAAATGAGTCAAAATATGAGACACTTTAAAAACTATTGAATTAATATATAAAGCTAGTTTTTGGTTTTTGAATTTAAAATAGAACCATTTTGGTGCTATAGAATAGCACTATCAGAACCAGCATGCTTTGTGGAATACTTAGTGTGGGTGCCAAGGACTTTTTCTTGGGATAGTAAACCGTTTTCTTGGACAATACAATCACATGAGGATTTTGGGGCATGGCGGGATTGGAAGCGGGAACGGGAGCCGGAACAGGAATGGGAGCTGGAGCGGGCGCTGAAGCGGGGACTGGAGCTGGAGCGTGGCCAGGAGGGGAAACCGGAACGGGAGCAGGTGCAGGAACAGGAAGAGGAGCCGAAGCTGGAACTGGAGCAGCGGCTGAAGGATGAGCCACAGGCGGATAACTTAAATGGACGGGAGAAATAGGAGCTGGTGCCACAGAAGCATGTGCCACAGGAGCAACAGCAGGAGCAGGTGCTGCTGCAGGCACCGAAGCAGGAGGAGCAGCAGCTGGAACATGTATGACTGGCACAGGCTGTGGCATCACAGGAACTTGAACAGGACTAGGAGCTATAGCCGGTGGAGGGACATTGGCTTGCAGGGTGGGACATATCAGGTGCTCAGTTTCGGTGTAAGTCTTAGGGTTGCTGGGATTGGGCTCTCTAATGGTCTGTTTGTAGCATCCATTGGCATCAGGAGTACCAGTTTCAATCACTGTCATCTTCTTGGGATCAGGCTGAACGGCCACGGGTACTGCAACCGGAGCGGTAATGACAGGAGGAACAGCTGGCTGGTAGTAGTGATGCACCTGGGCCACAGGAGCAGGGGCAGGCGCCGGCGCTGGAGGAGCGTGGGATTTAGCCACAACATTTCCAATGACGGCTCCGGCTAGGGCTCCGCCCAAAAGGCCAACACCTGAAAAATTTTTAAAGTTTTAATTTAAATTTAAGACAAAAGTAAAAAAATAATTGGAGTTTTGTAAAAAAAACCTACCAAATGCCCTTTTCCGACCTCGTTTTGGCCGTGCTTGGCTAGATGGCATCAAACTCAATCCGAGCAACGCCACCAGAAGAAAAACAGTAACCAGTATACGCCTAGACATGGTGAATAAGAATTCTTCACCCTCCGGACACTAATCGAAATATATATTTGGCTAAATCGGCGTTCAGACCTGAGCTGATCCGTAACTTACCGCATTTCTGACTCCCTCGATCTTTTTGGAAGAATGTTGTTATGGCTTGACAAATATTGATACAGTTGTTTTCGGGAAAGTTGACGAGTTTTGCCCACATACGTATGGCGTATGTTTATGATATGCTTTAATTAAAATTTCAACGGCACATGAAACGCTCATTACCAACCTTTAAGTCTTATACTTTGGTGTGAATAAGTGAACTTGAAAAAACTATACCTATATGAGACTAATGTATGTACATACAACCACTTTAATATTTGTTTTTTGCTAGTTTTATATTTAGAAAAGAAAAACAATTGCCAAAATACCTTTTCTTAAGGTGTGTCTTAATACATTAACGGTAGCTTGATTATACATTTCTTAGTAAAAATATTTTTTTATATTTCCAAGAAATACATTTTCTAAATAATACGTGTTATTTTGATTATATTTAATCAACTTTCACCCATAAAATGTGTTGGCAGTTCAGTTGTCAAAAGGCATATGCTCTCTTAGTAATAGCAGAAGGTAAAACATAATGGAAGATCTGAAAGTGTTGTTATTAGCCTGGCTTAAAGTTGTGTGATTTAAGAACAAGAGTACCCAAAAAAAAAACACCAAAAAAAGAAAATGGGATCAGTAAAAAAGAACTAACCATAATTGTTTAATGAGTGGCAGTATCTCTTTCAGCCACCTTTCTTCCAAGCCTTATTTTTGGCCAAAATGGCAAGCGACAGGAGTCAAACCAGCTGGGAACATGGTGGACGAGTCCGGCATATGGCACGTGAGGTTCCATTTAATTTTCATAATTTTTCGACCAGACTCGAAGGACACGCAATTCGGTTTGTGTTAACACTTGGCCCAGGAAAGTCTTTATTCCTTATTGTGGCTATTGATTAAATCGGCTTAAAGCTTTGACTAATGATGACAGAAGATTTGGCCGGAGAACATGAAGCGCTAGAGCGCATAATTCGTTGCTGGAATTCGCAGAGTCATGGGGCAACCGTTTCGTTTGGGTGTCGAAATGACCTGCATCAAATGTTTCGCCATGAGAAATCTCCAGTCATTTGTATTCGGGGGATTTGCCGGCAATTTGCGAGACGCGACTTTAATTCGCTTAATAAACATTTGCTTAGTTTCGGCGCTCTTCGTCCAGGTTCTGGGTTAGTTTAGGTAAGCAGAATGCCAGAATGCCAGGGGAGGAAAAATCTTCGCCTTAAACACAATGGACAATTGTCAATTGCAGAAAATTCTTGGCCTTTTTGGGGGTGCGACACTTGAGTTCCACTTCTCAGTCGGTCATAAATCATTTACTGAATGCTACACATAAAGAAATAAGGATACAAATACTAGACAAGATAGTCGAAAGAATGGTGTTCCAAGAGTGTTGAAGAATGTATGTTTTCCTTATGAAATTCATGAAAATAATAGTCTAATATTTATATCCTGAAATTTAACTATTTATGCTCTCTGTAGAATGAAGAAGATGACAAGGAAAACGTCAGAGACCGGAAACGCCAGGACATAGCCGCCAGGAGGCAGTGCAGCTCATCTGATGGACATCTTGGGGCCACGGACCTCTGTCGAAAGTCTTCCCCCACCGCAAAGGATAATGATGCGCAAATCGCTGGCAGTCATCGCTGCCAGCATTGGACTCGGCTCTGCTCTGCTTTGTTTCATGTTGTTGTGGCTTGCTTTTAGTTGCCTCTATTATCCTTAATGCGAGTCACTTTGTTAGAAACGTCAGTCGGCCTGCAAGCGCCATTATCGTCATGGCTGGCGAAAAAATATGAATCGGAAAATGTGCAGACACGCCAGCCAGCCGCCTGCCCGCCGAAAATGCACGAGAATAAAGATAAAACATGACAGGCGGTTCACATCCAGTCATTTATAATAAGCCCAATATGACCGCGACCGCATGTGGCCGCGCCCCTTTCCTTTCCCTTCCTGGCTTTTTTTTTTACTTCCATGGTTTATCATCCTGGAGACTGGGTACTGGGCGTGGAGCTGAGTACTTGGGAAATCTCACTTGGGCAGCAGATGAAAAAGTTCCTCCAGCCGGCGTACGAGACCTAATGAAATAATTGTTGTGAGCTATTTACAAGCATCTAATTCCTATTCGATGGCGAGCCAATAAAAATATGCCATAATTACGTAGAGCCCTGGCCGCCAAACCAGTCGGCAGTCCTAGTCGGCAGCGCACAGGCTGCAATGTTAATGACATAATTTAAAAAGCATTTCATTAATAGCCGGGATGTCAGGGGCCCAGAAGTCTGCGACGAGGCAATTAAAATGCGAACAAAGAAAGCTTGTTCGACGCTGTTCCGACGCAGGCGATTGGAAATTCAGATCTTGGCCAGGCCAGAATGTTAATGGTAATTGAAATCTGTTCGCATCGAATATGGGTGAATAAGTTAGCCTTAAGGCTTTAAAAACCAGAATTTAAATGCTCTCATTAAAAAGTAAAGTAGCGGAGATATTCGTTTGCCACTTTGCCAGATATTCGTTTTTGGACCGTGGTTGGCAGCTTATCTTGAACTTTGGCATCGTCGCGGCTACGGAAAATATGTTTTCGCCAGGCAACCCCCGAATGTCCTGGCCATGTCAAATCATTTGTATATAATTCACATCCTTTTGGTATTCGGTCTTTGTGCCCGGTCGAGTGATTTATGGGCTGCTCTTCTTTCTGTTCTGCCATGTTTGGATATGTTTCTCTGTAAATATGCCAGCAATGGGACACATTCCAAATTGGTCCGTGCAAATTGTTTGCCTCAGCACTATTATCCTTTTCGCAGGATGTTGCCGCAGCTCGCTTTTTAGGTAATTGCTGACTGCTGCCATTCGGGCTGGTGAGTTATTCGTTTTCGATACGAAAATTTGATATTCCGACCACATGCTGTGATTAAATCGTAGATGCCAGGTCCTTTCCCAAGTCCTGTTTTGTAATTGAAAATAGTTTCTGCCATTTGGCAGTAAACACAAGTCTGTAGAGGGGCGTGACCAAGATTCAAAATGTTGATTAGAATTTTAGGAACCAAACCAGGGGGTTTACTTTATAATGTTATAAAGTTTTTATGTGGTATTTTTTTTAATATATACTATAACTCATAATTAAGGTAAATTGTAATTAAATTGCTTCAAGAGACAAAGAGGCATTGTCTCTTGAAGTTAAAAAAAAGCAGAAAACCACATCCAATCACTTATTGTTTTGTTTCTCAAATTTAATTTTCAACTTTTGAGGAAGGCTAGTAGTGGCCGTCTTTGGGGAACCGCCTGCTGTGCCATTTATCATAACTATGGCTAGGAAATTTTGCAAAACAAGTTAACAAATACCAACACGAGTGCTTTACGCAACATTTGAGCATGCAAATTTAGTAAATTGGAAATCGAGTCGCAGCATTTGGGAAACCGCAAAAACCCATCGCCTCCTCTCAAGGCGATACACAAATGTCCGATGGGAGGGGCCAGGTCCAGTCTCAATTTCAGTTCTCGGTTTCGGCCCGAGTTCCTGGTCAGGCCAAAAACTTCAAGACGAGCATGTGCATTTGTCATAAATTAGAAACTGTAACTCCTAGCCGGGGTGGAGCGATGGTGCTCGCTTTTTGCAACCGGTAGGTCCACCCAGCACTTAAATTTATTGCAAATAACTCTTTCCCCTCATAACTTTTGCCACCAGACCAGTTCAGGTCAGTTTATGCTTCGCATTTCGTTGCTGTTGGCTTAATTTTTTGGCTAAGCAAACTAATCAACGCCCACAATTGCGAAGGTCGCGAGTGGAACGGGCACTGTCCAGAGGCTAAATGAAGTGTGCACAGTCCGGACCCCTTTCAATTATGCTTTCGATTGTGTGTGTGCAGTCACAAGTAAACAGCAACTTGCCCCACAATGGAATCCGAGTTGCCCAACGCATATAAATCTTGGCCTAAGTGTTGTGGTCATTTAGCAAATGTCCAGCCATGTCCGGCATGCAAATTTGTACGCGTCCCTGGAGGGTGGGGGCTGCCAACTAAGTTTTCTCTCTTATCGGTCATGAAGATGGGTGTCCTCGCTGTGATTTATAAAATGTATTAATTAAACGGTCCCATCGGTGTGAAGGAACAGGCAGGATGCTAAGTTAAATGGGCTATAAAAAACAAGCGAGAAATTTACAAGAATTTTTCAGTTGTCATAGGGTATTAGCTTTTGTTTCCCTCTTAAATTCAATTTTATACTTAAAGCTGGTAGACATGTCCTTCTTTCGTATCCCAAAGTATTTCCTTACCAGTTTCTCCTTCTCAAGGCTCACATAAACACATAAGTGGTAGTCCTGTCAAAGTCAAAAATAAACGCAGCGACAATAATGATTTATGTGGCCAAAGTCGAAAAGGAAAGATCCTGGCAAGGACTCTATCCTCTTGCGAGGGTGATGTTTCTGGAGTGGGTCGGTTCAGGACATATGAGAATATGGAGACTTGGAAAAGCGCGACAAATGCGTATATAATTTGTAAGACAGCCCAACACAGGAAAAAAGATTTTTCTCAAAGCAAGGACACATTTTCCTAATTATTTAACTCCAATAAAGACATAAATCTTGGTAAATAATTATTATTTTGATCCAATGAAATTTAATATAGACAAATATGAAGAGAAAAAGGAATTCTTAAAGAAACTTTTCCAGTTTGAAAAAGTTTTCCCTTGGGTGTGAAATTGGCAATAAGATGAACCATAAAACGATTTACTGATATTGAACCCTCAGGCATATAAACTGTCTGCAAGAAAAGTGCTTTTCCAAACCGAAAAAATTTTTAAATCTTGAAGAATTTAAAGCGTTTAATTGATTTGGCAGACTCGGGTAAAAAGTGCTGAGTGCCATTACCAAATTTGAATTTGCACAGCAGACCCAATCACCCATCGCCGTAGCCTCTGTGCCCAGAAACCGTGCCAGTTCATAAGCCACAGAAATG